AATCTGTAATTTTGCTTGTGTCTTGTTTCAATGATTTGAGTTGAACTCAGTACATTGTTACCTAATTTATTAGTCACTCTGTATCTAACGCATATTTCGTCTTTATTACGTAACTCCTTTACCATTGTATGCTTACATTTATTTTGTTTAAACTTGAACTGCCTGTGTAAAAACTATATAAGCGCAATTTTCTGAGCACTCTTCACTTACTGTGGAACTTCTGTCAACTGACAACATGTAAAATTTGCAAGTATGTTAAACCTTCTCTGTACGCAAACCTCATAATTTATTTAGTCTGTAAGCGGCAGCTGACGAGAAGCCAGCGAAATAAACAGTGATGGTACCATATTATTCTGCACAAACCGATACTTTTGTTCTTGCTTTATTCAAATTGTCATCAAGGGGAAGGTTCTCTAACTGATATCGATCCGTGGTCAAAGTTGAAAAACAAATCTTATCCTTACAAATCAACTCTTGAAAAAAATGTGTATGGTAACTCGATCACGTTTCATCTGTATGAGTTAATCCTATGTTTTCCATTGAATGAATCAATAATGATAAGAAACCATGTGCAGATTGTTGGATTTGATAATCGCATATGTGTATTAATTATTAAATTACTACATGTCTGCCTAATGAAAATCCCATTTCTGTTGGTAACATTAGTTCATGTAAGGGTGTTGAATTCAGATCGCATTCAGTCTTCATCCATCATTCCTATTGACACAATTTGGAGACCGTTTTCTGTGTGAATCACTACTGTTAATAAAATGCCCTTTACTATTTTTAAAATTATTCTAAATGATCGCGTTATTATCAAAATCAATTATTTTTGGCTTGATAGCATGGAGTTAAAAAACGAAACTAAGTCCGTGGTAGATTCAGAGGTTGACTAAGCCTCAATTATTATTATTATTAATATTGTTCCCTTGGGTTTTGAGTGGAACATAGGGCCCTAACAGAAAATCCCGAATTTTTCCTACTGTCTGCGACCTTCTTCAGCTCGGTCCACGAAACTGGACCACTGGACAACCGCCTCAACATATGACCGGTCCATCTACATTTTCTCCTACATGTTTATTGAGTAATCAACTCTTGGAAAACCATTAGGGAGTACTAGACAACCAGCTGTCTCTTCCCAGGTTCTGACTCTTCAACAATATGCACGCACCAACAGGGTTCAAACCGGCGACCTTCCAGTTGCAAGGTTAGTGAGCTCTTAGAACATTAAGCCACGGCCACTCGACCCATGAATTCCAACTTCTGCCAATTCATGCACGATATAGCGTGACTGACACTAGGCAATTTCATCACTGGCGAGTATTTCTCCATACCGATTTGAGTTCATGAAGAAATCCTATAACCAATCAAGTAAAATCTCTACAAACCAACACTTGAATATCAACACGATGTTTACAAGTGACTGTCCGTATCCAGCTAGATTGCCACCTGGCTTCTAGTGGGAAGTCGTGACCGCCGGGGTACAACAGGTCCAGTGTGACGACAAAGTGACTACTGCCAGTCGTGCTATAACGTGCTTGAATTGTTAGAATTCGAAATTCATGGGCTGGCCATTCGGTCGGGTCCCAGTAGTTTAGTGGTCTCCGAGGTCACTAGCCTTATAACCTGAAGGTCCTGGATTTGAACCTCAGTAGTTGTGTACTCATGAACAGTTCCACACACTAAGTGGACGAAACATCTGTCTAACAGTACTCCCAGCTGGTTTCCAATGGTTCTCTAACTGATATCAGCTCGCTATTAATCCTGCAGCCAATCAGATCCCTTCAAACCAACACTAGACATAGTAGAGTTTTAACCAAAAGAATTCTTTTGTGATGTATCACCAAAAGTATAACCAAACATAATGAAATAAAGACTGACAACGTTAGTCATAAATGACAAAACCATAAAAAATGCTAATTTATAACTTTCATATTCGTTCTTATCTTAAAAAGGACAGCGTCATTATAAAAAATATGTTCCGGAAGACAAAAGACAATGAACAAAGAGTGAACCTATCATATCCACACTGTAAGTAGAGAGAGAGAGAAAGAGTTCATGCATACATTACTTCTCGTTGACCTATCTCAAACAAATAATTAAATTAAGGGAAGTAAACTGACTGCATTTGATGTTAGGTCATTCTATGTGAGTTTGAAGCAGCCGATCGATAATCTAAAATAGCTAAAGCACTGGAAGTAAACGTACTTTAAACGCACTTTATCAGCACATATGATGCATGTCAAGATTATTATTATGTTCCGAGTGGAACATAGGGCTTCAACAACACATCTCCGCTTTGTTCTATTGTCTGCCGTCCTCTTCAGCTAAGTCAACGATTACCGATAATCTTTCATCTCCTCCCCACCACACTATCTCCTCGATGTCCTCCTCGCACTGACGACCCACTCGTCACTTCCCAGTGTTATCCCACTCATGCGATGTCATTCGATGGTCTCCTCAACGTATACCCAATCCATCTCCAATTCCTTCAGTATATTTGCTGAGCAATCGGTTCTTGCTTGTTGGTTTGTTGCCATGGTTTCTTGCTGCTAATTCTTGCTGATTGACCCGCCATCTGATCTTCAGTATAAAGCCAGAGAAGTGGGCAAGTGTCGATAAAAGCCTGCAACTTTTGGAAATCCTTTTCGTGACGGGTGTGCAGTGCAATCTTTTGACCTATCTAGAAGAACTGTCAGAATTCCCATTGGTGTTTAAAATCAGAATCTAGTTCCTTGTGCTGAGTGCAGACGATTTATACACTGGTTTCAGGTTGATGAGGGCGTATCTTGCATTTCCGATTCTGGCTGACTTTGACATCTTCATCCCTTCCGCCTGTCCTTGAGACTATGCTCCGTAGATAAGTGAAGGAAACAATCTCTGTTAAATCTCTCCCGTTGATGATGATTAATGCCGGTTGTTGTTGTTGTTGGTTGGTTGGTTATCTTCACCACCTCCATCTTCTCTATATCCATCAGGAGTCCCATCTTCGCTTCTTCCTCAGCCAGTTTGTTGGTTTTCGCCTGTAAGTCTTCGAGTTTTGCATGTTATTAACAGTAATGCAATAAGGATTTCAGTTATTTGGAGAGTTTGGAAACTATCTCTGCCTACTATTACTGATAATCTTTAATCATACAGTAAACCGGTGCGATCGAGAATACTGACATATTTTAGACCGACAAAAAACACCACAGGAGATATGGATTTCATGTCATACAAACTGGAAGATATACAAGTGAAAATCAGCTATTGAGGGCACAGGACACGGAAGGTAACCTTTCGGATAAAGTAGGGAAAATGGCTGGCAAAAATACGTAAGTCATTTCGGCTGTTTCACTTACCCGAACTGGGCAGAATTCTTTCAGAAACATTCAACACCAACAAGGATGTTGGAGACAGGTGGCAGCGAGGGGCGTAGGATAATTGTTCATGGCTTTGAAATCAATGTGAAGTCCCATGGCACTATCCTTAATAGTTCACGACCCGAGTTTTCAACATTAATGCCTAGTCATTTATTCTACATGGTTACTGAACACTTTCATCAATAGCTACCTACGATCCATAGAGCTCAAATGGTTAGACGGGATAGGCAAGAGTGAACTGTGAGGGAAAGAAAACCAGCCAACTTTCTTCAAATACCGTCGCTTACAAGATCATTCAGTGAAATTCAAGTGAGAAGCGGTTGGTTGTGTGTACTTTCGAGAGTTGCACCGAGGAGACCATATCGAGAGGTAATTAAAGCTTGTGGTCACTTGTAAAATGGTTGTAGAGTACAGAATAGAATGACGACATGTCAGTGATCCCCTTAGTTCCACTGTGAAGTCAAGGGACCAGTATTATCAACAATGAAAATCAATAAAAAAGTTAGAGTAATTCCAAGATATTATACCTTAAATAAATAATGCGGTTAAACATTTGACTAGTATTAAACCAAACTTCCTCTACATAAGTAGATTAGTTCTGGCTTGGTTGGCCTATTGCTGAACCCTTTTACCCCCGCTCTTAGTGGTACAGAAGTATCACACTCTTGCAAAACGTCGAAGACACTTCACCGGAGAGTACGTTCTTGACAAAACCAGCAAGTCAGTTAACTCCCTTCTCATTCAGTGTTAGGCGGAACCCATTTCAATGATGCCGTGAGTTTTGCACATCTGCACACTTGGTATTTTAATTCACTGTTCCTTAAGTACATGATTATGCGAGTCAGTGATTCATGATTAGAACATCTGTCAGCAATCCAAGAGTCCCGATTTCGATCCCAGGACAATATACTGCTAAACTCCGCCTAGCAGGTATTAAATCCCCCAAAAACGAAGGCTAGCAGCTTCATCTCGACTGAGATTTCACATCGTGAAGCAAAATTTTTACGCTCAAAACGCCAGGAAGAGAAAAAACAGAAGCACTTAATTTTCAAGTATTGGTTTGTAGGGATTTGATGAACTGGTTAAAGGATTTCATCATGAGTTGACATCGGCTACAGAACCACTGGAAAGCCAGCTAGCAGTACTGGATAGCCAGCTGTTTCATCCTGATTTGGGGCTCAGTGGCAGTACACATCCGCCTACTGCCAGGATTCAAACCCATGATTTTCTGGTTACAAGGCGAGCTCGCACTTCAATAAGCCACTGGAAACCGATTCAATGGCCAACACATGAATTCCAACTTCTGCCAACTAACGACATAGCGCGACCGCTAACCAACGTCTTTGGCTAGTTTTTATCCCCTCACGTGATCTGCTGCACCCTACTGTTCACGGCGTCCCGCTAGAACTGCCACTGAGCCCCAACCTGGGACGAAACAGCTGTCCAGTACTCCGAGCTTGTTTTCCAGTGGTTCTCTAACCGATGTCAGCTCATGATAAAATCCTGTAACCAAAGGCACTTAATGTTGACGGACTGTTTGTTACCTAAGCTTTTTAGTTATACTTTGCTTTAATTATTCATTTGAGCTGCATAGTTAGAACAAAGATCAAATAAATTTCCTTTTGTTTTCAATTTCAGCGCTCATTCCGGATGTCCAACTCCTCTTTCAAAAGAAGGCGTAAAAGATGAACACAGAATGAAATTGAGAACCACCTCTGTAGAGACTGACAGTTACTCAGGTAGTCCAGTAAAGAAGACTCGAATCTCAGACCAGATACATCAAACGTCAGTTGATGAGACTACAGATGTGAATAAGGAAAAGTTGAAAACTTACGAGAATAGAAATAATTATAATGACAAGAGTATTGTCTTTACAAATAAGTATAAAAGAGAACGTCGGCTGACAGAAAGACTATCCAAAGGTATTGGTTATCATCTTGGTAGAAGGCGTCGACTTCTTGAAAGTCGTCGGAGAATGGCTGATTTTGCATTGGCTTTTAGTATATTTGGTATTTTGGCAGCATTCTTGGATATCGAGTTTATTTCCCGTTCATTGTATAATAAGGTAAGTCAAAAAAGGTGTTTTTGTGTTTTGAATATTTCCGGTTAATTTATTGCCTAATTATGGGTATATGTGAAGTTAATTGACTGCGAGAGAGGTTTTTTCGCATGAACGGAAATCATTTACAGAGGTAATGAAAGCTAAATTGTCGTAGAAGGGTCGTTTATTTCTTTATATATTCAGGTATCTCGATGGACTTTAACTGGGTTTTTCTTAAAGTTTTATTGGGAAATTGTGAATTCTAGAACCTTCTAGGTCGACAGTAAAGACAAGTACTTATAGACGGAATAGGATGGTAACAGCGATGACTGGTTTACTGGTTTCAACACAGAACTTTGCAAATATGTGCAGCAGTGTAGCCTGCTACTCTTTATACAGCACGCAAAGCAAGAGAAAAAAGAAAAGAGAGATTTGAAGGAGAGATAATAAACAGTAGTGTGAGGGTAAAAAATTGTGTTATGGAAGAACAATAGAGTTTTATTGTAAATGACAGACCATAAAGAGTGAATGCAGCTGTACCACTGAGAACGATTTCGAGCCATATCACTGTTTTTAACAACACCGAGGACCCCAACCAGCCAGTGAGTAAGTCTACACCGCCCCACGTGACTAGCTGGCTCAAACTATCTGTTATGGATTTCACTGACTGATGAATCCGTGTTTTGGTTTGACCACCTCTGGCTCTTTTCCAGCCTCACCAATCCAGTGTCACCTAATATTGTAGTTTGAGGAAGGCGATGGCTAGGGATGTATGCGCAAAACATTTCCTAACCATCTGAACGTCGTTGGTTGATTTTCCCTTCTTACCTAGCACTCGACTGATGCTTAACCAACTCAATATTACTCACTCTATTTTACTATGTAACATGGGGGACAGAACACAGACACCTGTGATCAAAGACAGCTAGCTAACCCTTTCATGCCTTCCACTTTCAATAGCCGTTTCCCATAGCCATAAAAGATTCTGTCAGTGATCAACGTGCTTGGGCTGATACAACTTTCCAGGAAAGTGAAGTGGTTAACTCGTGATATACTACTAATGACCGGTGAATGTTAACCACTTCTTGTTAAGATCTATCTCAGTGGCTGAATATTAGTGGGTTTGCTTGATAACCCTATGTCTTTTAGTTTATCCCCTAGTATATTCGCTAAGGTGAACTGCTAAAAAAGTCAGTAATATAATGAGGCAGCTTCTTACCGCCTAAAGATTGCCTGTGGTTTCTATGAATATTGTTAATGAATGACTCAGGTCATTTCAACCTACTGCGAGAAGACGGGAATATGTTGTGTATAAAGCCCTACCCCCGTACCCTGACCCTAAATTCTAACCTTATATGCTAAGCCTAACGCCAAACTTCAACTCCTAACTGTACAAAATATTTGTCCGAAAGAGTACGAACATTTGCAGGAGAAACGTGAAGTTATTCTTGGAACATTTTGAAGAACTGTACTTCTTCCAGTGTTTTCACTCTGTTTTAAGCAATTTTCATCTAAATTGACCTGGTTTACTCTGACTGGCCGCACCAAGATCACTCAGTTGGGTTGTCATCCTTTAACATCTTTGAGTCATGACTGGGGCGGAATTTCTTTATTGATATACAGTGAATGGCAATTTGCGGTAAAAACTAGATCAGGTTACTCAAAACTGAAAGAAAAAAGGGATATCTCAAATAAGTTACTGATCCTGTAAAAACCTGACGGTTAAAGCTATTTATAGTTACATGTGTTGTTAACAGTGACATCAGCGTTAATTGAGAGGTTTATTATTATTATTATTCTTGTTCCCTTGGGTTCCGAGTGGAACATGCAGCTTCAGCAACACATCTCCATTTTCTTCTATTTTCTGCCATCCTCTTCAGCTGCCTCAAGGATTGCCCAAATCCTCTCATCTCCTGCTCCTCGCTACACGATCTTCTCCATGTCACCCTCGCAGTGACGACCCAATCGTCGCTACACACTGGTATTCCACTCGAGCACTGGCCTGCATTGCTCGTGATGTCACTCGACGACCTCCTCAATATATGCCGTTGCTGGTGACTGGTGCTGGTTGTTGCTACTGTTGGTTGGTTGGTTATCTTCATCACCTTCGACTTCTCTGTGTTCACCTGCAGTCCTGTCATTGCTGCCTGCTTCTTCAGACAGTTTGTTGGTTTTCGCTTGTAGATCTTCGAGCTTGTGCAACATTAGACATCATCATCGTCATAGACATATCATCTACGAAATCTTCTACGTTTCTTATCGGTCAGTGTAGCATATTCCTGTCTTCTCACTCCCCTCTCACAGTGTGCCGCATCAGCCAGTTCACCACAATTAAGAATATCATTAGTGATAATAAGCATCTAGCTTATGATAGAGAAGATTTGTAGCTAAGGTGAATGATTTTGATGTGGTTGCGTTCTCTGAGCTGGATAATTAATTTGCGAAGCTTCCATCACCCTAATGATCCACTGTTACCTTTGCGTTCTAGGATCACAACATGTGATCCGCTTGATGTCGCAAAAAGCATTTCTTACAGTAGATAAAATGCCGCGATGTTATTCGGTGGACGGTAGAACCCAGGATGAGTATTGCGTCCCATTTCGAACTCGTCATCTGTCTGTACCTGCATCCATCAGTGACTAGTGGGTAGAATTCCCATTGAGTCTCGAACCCAATACCCACTGACTCAAAAGCCGAAGCGTTATCCACTAAACCACTTGGTCCATGAGAGCCACCTCCTTCTTGTACAACGGGTGTAGGTTATTATATTTATTAACAATTCGACTTTGATTTTCCTGCCAAGTGACTGAACCGGAAGGTACACGTTAATCCTCAGACATCGCCAAAGCATCCACACGAGGAGGTGGGATATCAACAGAGGCCTAACATTTCTGTATAGTCAATCAATGAGAAAATAAAAATCGAAATAAAAAGGAAAAAATGATATGTGATACATATGATTCATCGATGTGAGTTTGATTTCCATAATTAACCTTAGTTAATTTCTACCTTGGTATGTGAAATTAGCGCATGACAAATTTGATTTCCCAAAGTATCCGACCAGAACAAGATGACGATTAATAAAAATCCAAATAAATCTGCTGAAGAAGCTGTGGCTTACACAGTGAAACGTTCAGAAAAATCTTGTTTTGATTTTCTTAACACGCTGGGATTAATTTAAATAATCTATAATGAATCAATCTGACTCGGCGCTCAAATTATTCCAGGAAGTTCGTAACACCTACGGCCTGGAAACCTATATCCGATCAGAATGTCGATGCTTTCAACTCATCTGCTTGTCTGAGCTAATTCACTCTGAGTTATATCGATAATGAACTCTGTCCCAACTGATGTCTGATGTCTACATCACTTCCATCTGACTGACAAAGCCTACTATTTGAGTTATATGGTTTTCAACTACTTATATCCGTCAGTAGTATATACCTTCCTTTTATCTACATTAATATATTTTTTTAATGTATATTTACTTATTTTGTAGAATAGTATCTACTCAATGGTTATGCGTACACTGATCAGCCTTTCAACTGTCATTCTTCTATTACTCATCATGTTTTATCATACCTACGATATTATGGTAAGTCATCATGCGTTGAGCAATCATTGACAATATATATATATATATATATATATATGTTCACAGTCAACTCCTTTCCCTGGCATTTATTTTTTTCAGTAGTTGCATAAGATGGCCATTGAATAGTTTAGGAATGGGAGTGTGTAGATAATGAGACAGGTGAAGATGGGTCTCATGTTTTGCTGACGTAATCATGATCAAAACGAGAAAAACGAGTTACACATTTTGAACTTGTCAACCATTATGGAGATACAGGATTTCATTATGAGCTGACATCGCCTAGAGAACCATTGGAAAACCAGCTGGGAGTACCGGATAGCTGTTTCCGTTGTCATAGTTTGAGACTCTTCATCGGTACACACCCACCACCAGGATTAGAACCCAGGACCTGCTGGTTACAAGACTAGTGAGCCACTGGGACCGGATCCAGTGTCCAACCCATGAATTCCGACTTCTGCCAATTCACGAAATACCGGATTTTCAACTCCAATGTGAAGTCAGTGCTACTTACTATAAAGATCAGAGACTTGGCGCTTGATGAAGAGCACCTCTAACAAATTACGGACCTTCATCAACAGCTGTTTTCGCTCTGTACTTCTCAAGATCAGACATCCAGAAAAATTCAGCAACAACGATCGCTGGTACTGAGTGAACCAACCAGGAACCGATTTTGTAACAAATAAGCAGGAAGAAATGGAGGTGGATTAGACATACTCTAAACAAATCATCAAGCGACATCACTAGACAAGCCCTCTAGTGGAACCTGAATGGGAAACGGCCAGTTGGTTGTCAGTGCAAGGGTGACCTGAAGGAGGTCATGTGAAGAGAAGATGAAAGCAAGTGAGCAGACATGGAGCCAGGTGAAAACGTTAGCAGAGAACCGAACGCGCAATGGAGACGTGTGGCTGAAGCCCGGTGTTCCTTTAGGAACTAAAGGAAACAATAATAATAATAATCGCCACTGAAGCCTTGTGTTCCACTCAGAAAGTAAAGAAACCAAAAGAAAAACCATCCGAGTTTGGCTGTCTACTGGTAACTAACACTGGAATGAAACACTGCTCACTTCATCCTATTTGCGACTTGTTCGTTAGGTATATCTCTACCGAAATGTAACTCCGTCATAGAATCTTTTGCTTCACTCAGCATGCAGAACAAGATTCGGATTTTCAAGACTAATTTCACAGATATAGAGCGCGCGCGTCACCGAAGGCATTCCCAACAGACTACTACAGACACTGACCAACCGGCGCCCCTTTCGCTGGCTTTATACTGAAGATCCAATCGCCAGTTGGAAAGGATTAGCAACAGTAAATTGTGTTAGGCAACGAACTAACCAAGAACCTGTCACCCGAGAAATCTATGATAAGGGAAATGGAGATGAATTCTGAGGAGACCACTGAGGGACGTCTCACGCCAGGCAGGGACAAGTCTGCGGGTTGCTTCGACAAAGACATGAGGGAGATTCTGTGAGATGGGAACCATAGAGCCAGCCAGAGTGGACTGCCGATAATAATAATAATATTGGAATGAAAACATGTTGATGAAGCCCTATGTTCCATAAGAAACCCATGAGAATAATAGTATTTGTAGTTCCTTTGCTTTTTCCCCTGATTCTCACCTGTGCTTTAATAATTTGTGACAGATTTGATTGCTGCATTTTTGTGCAAAAAGCATGTTGAAAATTCAATTGCTCAATCAGTCTGTCAATCACGTGATACGTTCCCTTCGAAATTATTATCATTATTATTATTATTCCCTTGGCTACCGAGTGGAACATGGAGATTCATCATTACATCTCAGTTCCACCTTCCTCGCAGCAGTCTTTTTCAGTTGGCTCAATAGCCACCCGTAAGCTTTCATTTTCTCTTCAGATCCACACTCAACATACCGTTTCTCATTCAGGTTCCATTCAGAGGCACACTGCGTGATGTTACACGTGTGTTAAATCCCTCTCCAGTACTCCATTGCATATTTTCGGGTAAAAGTTGTTGGTCGGTTCATTATCATAAGATTTTTTTGTATTTTCCAATGAATGAAAAAGGCAAGACGATATTGTTCTTATTGACGTTCCGCTACTTAATGCCTCTAACAGCTTTATCAAAGTATTATTAAACCAGAAGAATTTACAAAATCCACTCAGCTTATATATAACAAATTAATCATCGTTCCTCAGCATGAGGTCATTTTTCGTTGTCAAATTGGCCAATTGGTAAAGATAACAAAACCATGTATAGATTGTTGGATTTGATAAGTGTGTAAAATTATAAAAGCAGTGTGTCTTTGCATAATGAAATTACTTATCACATTTGTGTTGATTTTGTCATTTCATGGTGGGGGTGGGGAGTGCTGCGACCAGGTCAAATTCTGTTTTAGTCCATCATTTCTATTCAGGCAATTTGGATTCCACTTGATATGAAGTGCTCCTGGTGATATCAGATGTTCTTTGAGATTTCTGAAATTTTTCTGTAGACCTATGGCGGATGATTTTTCAAGATTTTCTAGTTCAACTGGATTTCTCGGTGGTCGAACAGAGGCAGCTTTACGGTGTTCATCTCTTCTGATTTTAGTTTTTCGTGATGTTTGTCTGATGTATGTCGCATAACATTCCAAGCATTTTATTTTATAGGCACAATTAGATGGAGAATCATTAGGGATTTGGTCTTTTATATGGACAAGGTTGTTTTGCAGTGTGTCTGATGTTTTGGAGAAAAATCTGATGTCAAGCTGATTGAGTACTTTTCTGATATCATCTGACGTCTCTGCTCTATATGGAATGACAACTTTTGAGGTCCATATTTTCGGGATACGTTTCCCACCATAATTAATGTCAGTGTTGATTTTGTTGATGTAGTTCTTTGGGAAGTTATTTTGCTTGAGAGTCTCAGTAATTTTCTATATTTCTTCTTCTTTTTCTTTCTGATTCGTTAATATCAAAAGAGAGTGCTTGTCCAGGAAGACTAGAAACAACTGATAGGTTTGCGCTGATAGGCTGTAATGACCCAAAGTCTAAATATTTTTGCTGGAGTTGGCTTTCTTCCTGAATACAGATATACTAAAATATCCGTTTTCCCTCCTCTTAAATAGGTAGTCTAGAAGTGGTAGTTCACCGACGTCTGATTCTGCCTACTTGCAAAGTAAACTGGATTCTGGGAGATAGACTGCTTAGTTTCTCCAAGAATGAACTGTGTAGATCTCCTTTCAGTACTACACTATCTTAACCATATCTGAGGAGTGAATACGCTTGAAAAGATGTTATCTTCGAAGCTATTCATGAAAAGGTCAGCGACTATTAGGGAAACTGGTGAACCCTTGGTTGGTTGGTTGGTTGGTTCGTCGCAGAATTCCTTTCTGACCCACTGTCTGATAGACAGTATTGAGCCAGCCAAAGTGGCTGTAGATGAAAGTCTGCAGCACCCATTTGGAAATACTACTAATGACCAAATCGCCAAATCTTTGAAAACACTAATTCACTCAGCCTTAGAATCGAAAATCCAGATTTTATTCCATATTGATTTTCATAGTAATAATGAATTCTAAGAACACCTGCCTTTAACATTCTCATCTTTACGTCCGCCTGTAGTTGTAGTCGTAATAGGAAGAGGAGTAAGAGTCGTTAAAACGAATTACGTCACTATTTTTCCCACCGATTCTTTCCATTTGCTTTCTAGTCACATACACAGACACAAATTACTCTGTTCTACAAGATTTCACACCAGTCTCACCTAAAATGTAATTAAAATTTAATTTCATAATGATTTCTAATGTCTAAGAAAAATTACCTGTTCTTTTTTTCTAGAAAAGTTTCAGCAATTAATTACATCTTCAGCACTTCAGCTTATAATCGTTTTCTTCAATTTAATCACACAGTAAGGAGGAATATATATGCGTGTAAGGGTTAAAACTAATTCTGAAATGTGAACTGTAAAATGTCTACACAGTGGGTGATTATTATTAAAGCTTGTTTGTCTCTCCTGCATGCTGCTTTATTCCTAATTGAATCTTAGACTACGATTAGTGGATATAGGTGCTATTTTTGGAGCAATCAGATTGAAGTCACCCGTTACAATGGTTTTAGTGTCTGCCGTTTTTAACCATTTCAATCGTAACTTATTAGTAATTGATAGTCTCCCGAAGATAAACGCTCAAAATAATCGTGAGGCTGAAGTTCTTTTCTTCTCTTTTCTGCAGTTTGGTATGTTGTTATTACACTTGTCTTGGGTTCTGAGTGGAACACAGGGCTATAACAACACATCTACACTTTCTTCTATTTTCTACCGTCCTCTTTAGCTGCGTCCATGATTTCCTCCATGTCAACCTAGCACTGACGACGCACTCGTCGCATCCCATTTGGATTCCACCCAAGCACTGGCTTGGCCTGCGATATCCATCTCCTCTATATCTGTTGAGCAATAGGCTCTTGGTTGATTTGTTGCCGGAGTTCCTTGTAGCTAGTTCTTTCTGGCCGGCTAGAGGCAGAGAAAAGGGCAGCTGTTGATGAAAGTCTGAGACAGCCTGTCAGAAATGCTTGTTGTGACTCGCTAGCCTATTTTTTGACCCATATACAAGGATTGACTTCACACCTGTGTTGAACAGAATCCGAATCTTGTTGTTTATGCTGGCTGAGTTTGTGCAGAAGATTTCCAAAGAGGCTTCAGGTTGACGAAAGTGTATCTTGCTTTTACCATTCTGGCTGGTTTATACTTCTTCATCCGTGCCGACTGCCTGTAGTTGAATACATGCTTCCTAGATAAGTGAAGGAAGTGACCTCTGTCAAATCTCTCCAGTTGATACTGACTGGTGCTGGTTGTTGTTGCTGTTTTTGGCCACTTGGTATCTTTATCACCTCTGTCTTCTCACTGTTCACCTGGAGTCTTGTTTTCGCCGCATCTTCAGCCAGTGTGTATGTTTTTGCCTGTAGGTCTTCAAGTCTATGTGACATTAAACATAGATAATCACCAAAATCTGCATAAACTTTAGTCTTGTCTTCTCGTTCCCATGCA